TCTCTCTCTCTCTCTCTCTCTCTCTCTCTCTCTCTCTCTCTCTCTCTCTCTTGGGTGGACTCTCCATTTCAAGCGGGCGACATTTTCATTTCCTGATTTAGTGCAATATAAAAGCAATTGGTCTCGTCGGTGCATGCTTGCTGGGAAGCATCGATTGACCAGCACCAGCAGCACCACATGCTGCCTCCAAAGCGCCTCCCCAGTGCCCAGCGTCATCGATGCCAGCAGTCATTTTAATCTGATTGGCAGTAGTAATAAATCTCAAGACGACTGCCAGGCAACCAGGAGAAGACGGTTCATGATTTCAATGTCAAAATAATCAAAAGCACTTCACCTCTCTTCAGGCAATCCTTCAATGAGCGCACGCTAGGCGATCGATTCACGAGGATATTCGCGAGCACATAGGGGCCAATCTCTCCAAAACCAAGGAGAGAAAGAGAAAGTGAAGTGTCGCTTCTTACTGCCGACTCGCCAGACTACCAAGACGCACTCTGGCAGACGCACAGCAGCGCCATTAAGCACACTTGATCCGATTAGAGTTGGTTTCAAGTGTACTAACAACTGCAAAACAGCACTGACTGGGTCGTCCTTTCCCGGGCTGCTTCTCCGAACTGCTGGTCGACTTGAAAACATACGAAAGAATGAATAGAGTGCTTTTAAATAGAACCCTTATAAATCTGCTACGACTTGAAAACTAATTAAAAACAAGCGGAAGCAAAAAAAGAAACTTACAAACTTACAATTCAGGATAGCTAGTTTGTAACCTTAGAGGATTGCTGCATTTCATTGGAAATTTTATTCTTAAGTGTCTGAGTCTATATGTGTTTTATGAACTGAATGACAGGAAAGCTTGAAAATTATTTTTTTTGATTATAATTAATTAGCAAATCTGATTAAAAATACAAAGCAAAAGTTAGCATGACACGTCTTCTGTGGAAGGCAGTTGGCAGTTGTATTTTTTTCTTTTTATGAAAACAACAGACGGTTTCGACGCCGGGATTTTTGTTTATGCAAAATTAATTTTGATTTATTCTAGCGTAATAAAGCACTGATAACACTGAACATTGAACATGACGCTTCTAGATTCGGTTTGTACAATTTTTTGTAATATTTGTTTGCTAACAATTTAAATCTTTCAGACCAATGAAATTAAACTTGACAACGCTCCGACGGATTGTATTCAAAGTGTCAAGTTTGGCAAAAACAGCTCCAATCAATTTCTTTTATCAGCTTCCTGGGATTTCACTGTTCGCCTGTACGACATTTATAACAACAAGCTCTGCGCTAAGTATACTCACCCAGCTCCAGTATTAGACTGTGCACTTCAGGTAAGAATTAATATATTTTTTATTCTGTTGTAAGTTTGACTTCTTTTAAATTCAAAACTTAGGAAGGCACAAAAGTTTGGTCTGGTGGATTCGATAAAAATGTTCGAGTATTTGATATAGCGAAAAGCACTGAAGAAATTGTCGGCTATCACAATGCTCCAATCCGCTGTGTGGAGTATTCGCCGGATAACAACTTGACAATAACTGGCGGCTGGGATGGAAATGTCAAGGTCTGGGACAGCCGTTCGTCTCGAAACATTGGCATCTACCCTCAACCTGATAAGATTTACTCACTTGACATTTGTGGAGATCTTCTCGTCGTTGGTACCGCTGGCCGCCGTGTTTTAGTTTGGGATTTGCGTAACATGTGCTACGCTCAACAGCGAAGAGAGTCGAGTCTCAAATTCCAAACACGTTGCATTCGCTGCTTCAGCAACAAAGAAGGCTTTGTCTTGAGCTCAATCGAAGGCAGGGTTGCCGTTGAATGGCTCGACGTGTCACCTGCAGCTCAAAAGAAAAAGTAATTTTTATATTTGAAAATTGCATTCAATTATTAACTTTTTTACATAGGTACGCTTTCAAATGCCACAGAAGCAAAACCGAGTCTTCAAGTGGGCTAGAGCAGGTAAATGCTTCAATTTGTAATTATTACTTGTTTGAACTTAATTATTGTTCATATCTTTCAGATTTATCCTGTAAATGCCATCTCCTTCCACTCAGGGTACAATACTTTTGCGACCGGAGGTTCAGACGGTTTCGTAAACATATGGGACGGTTTAAATAAAAAGTGAGTCTGCTGTACATTATTCCGCCCTATAGGTTAAACTAACATTTGCTTGTTTTATTTTTAGGCGCCTCTGTCAATTTCATAAGTATCCTACCAGCATTTCATCTTTGTGTTTCTCTCCTGACGGCTCTCACCTGGCCATTGCCTCTTCATACCTGTATGAATCAAGCGACATCAAAGACGTGCCAACTGATTCGATCTTTATTCGAAAAGTTTCCGATCAAGAAGCAAAACCGAAATAGTAGACTCGTACTGTAATCATGTTTTATAAAATCACTACTAACCGCATGTAAACATAAAACCCATTTTCATTTTTAACTTTATTAACAAAATGTGACTTATAATTACAATTATGAAATAGTGGATATCTTACACGAGTTTCTTCGCTTCAAAGAAGCTCTTTAAGTGTCGCATTTGCCAAATGCCCATTCCAAGTAGGATAACAGTCTGTGAAAGTGACCACCACAAGACTCGCGAGTAGGTGCTCTCGCTGGTAGACCGGAAACGTTCTTCGCGATACTGTAAAAAGGCGTTTTTAGTAACAAGACAGATATTGCACTTAAAAAGTATAAAATACCCGCTGATAGTTTTGCTCTTTGGTGATCTGCTCCACCTGATCCATAAGCTGGCGAATTCGAAGTTGAAGCTCGCTCAGTTTTTCTTTCTGGGCAACGTTTTGGTAGTCAATGGCGTGCTCTCCCACTTGAATGTCGAGATGGACGCGAAGTTGTCCGCCAGCAAACCAGCGAGTAGAGTTTGAGTACAGGCAAATGACGTGTTCGCCGGGAGTGTGTGAGGTAAATGAGAATTTGCCCTCGTGTGAGTACACCTTGGACATGATCACTTTGTCTTCGGGGTCGCGGATCTCAACGTGCATGCCAATGCCAGGGCTGGAAGGCATAAAGCCGCCGGTGTTTGGGTCAAAGAGATTGCATTTATAGTTGCCTGTAATGAGAAAAGGGTGATGAAAACAAACCGCACACAAACAGTTTGAGCAGCGGATAAACTCACCGACAACCAGCGTTTCATCGGGGACTTCTTCAATGAAGCACTTTCGCTCCGTCTCACCAATGTGAAAGTAAAGCGCTGCTCCAAAGTTGAGCACGGTAAAGAGCACGGCTAATGATAANGTGATGAAAACAAACCGCACACAAACAGTTTGAGCAGCGGATAAACTCACCGACAACCAGCGTTTCATCGGGGACTTCTTCAATAAAGCACTTTCGCTCCGTCTCACCAATGTGAAAGTAAAGCGCTGCTCCAAAGTTGAGCACGGTAAAGAGCACGGCTAATGATAAGATGGACTTCATGGCGATGAAGATCAAGTGGACTTGTCGTCTGGATGACAGCGGTGCCGATTGACACGTAACCGACTACAGATTTTCGACTAAATCGACAGTGCTAGACGACCAGCGAGAAGTATTTCAAAGGAAAATTCACAGAAAACTTGCCGGCAACTTGTATCCACAGCGAGATTCTGCCTTTGAAGAGAGGATACTCTGTTAGAGTTACGGTTTGTTTATGATTCATTTGACAGCGAATTCTACGTTTCTGGAATTCAAATTCTGTGGATGCCAATAGACTGAATGTAGAATTGATTTGCATTCTTTACAAATCTGACAAGTGTCAGTAAGCATATCCAGTTGCTATGTTTTGCCAGTCACTGCCTTGTGGCAACCTAGAAACCTTATCAGTGGGAGCTGGTTCAAACTGGAAGCGGCAAATGGGTGCACCCAGAAATGCGGAATTGAACTTATGGACTGGGTGTAATGACTGGCGGTGAGTAATGCCTTGGAGCAGAGTGGTGAAAGTGGATGCCAGAGCAACGACCCTCAGGGCGTGACTGTTATGTCTCTCTCTCTCTCTCTGTCTGAGCACCTACCTCTACCTGCACGCTGCTTTGCTCCAGTGCTGTTTTGGCAGTGCACTGTTAGTTGTGTTACCTGTGGCAACAACTGGCGAACTGTTCGGCGATGCTCACACNACGCTGCTTTGCTCCAGTGCTGTTTTGGCAGTGCACTGTTGGTTGTGTTACCTGTGGCAACAACTGGCGAACTGTTCGGCGATGCTCACACCACTCCACAGTTGATCGTTGGCGCGCCACCATGACGCTCTCCACTGCTCATCTTCTTGGGCTGTGGCTCCTGGTCCTTTGCGCCCTCTTCCACGGTTCGTCTTCTCCCCCCTTTCCCTTCACTTTCCAGCGACTAACCGTCTCATTTTTCCCTCTCATCTAGTGGGCAGTCAGCAACGAAGAACCCCTCAAAGACCCATTTTGAAGTACTGCACCATTTCTGCCCATGAACAGGCCAAGTGCCAGGATTGGGCGCGGGCTGTGGCGCAGATATTCTCCTTCGAGTACGACATCGAGTGCCGCAGAGCTGAGGGAAAAGATCAGTGCATGCAGTTGATAGAAGATCAACAAGCAGATATTGTTTCCCTTGATTCGGGCGAAATGTACATCGCTGGTCGCTACCACAGCCTGGTCCCCATAGTGTACGAGCAGTATGCCCCCAACAATCAAACTGGATACTTTGCAGTGGCCGTTGTCAAAGCCAATGCCAACACCAATATTCACCAGCTGAAGGACCTGAGGGGACGAAAAGCCTGTTTCAGCGGCGTCGGTCAACTGGCTGGCTGGATTTTGCCCATCGTTCGCTTGCTCGAAGAGAACCTGATTGACATTATTGACTGCAACAATATCATACAAAATGCTGCCAACTTTTTCGGAATGAGCTGTGCACCGAATGCTCTGATCGACAAGAACAACCCGATTGGCACAAATCCGCAGTCAATATGCGCGCTCTGCGCTTCCGGCTCGTGTGCTGGCAATGATGTCTACGCTCATTCGGAAGGAGCCCTCCACTGTCTGGTTAGCGGAGGCGATGTTGCCTTCGTTCGCCACTCAACAGTGGATCAGTTGGTCAGAACGGGCAGATACAAACGCCAAGAATTTGCCTTGCTTTGTCCAAACGGCGGTCGTGCTTCCATTGATAACTATGTGCAATGTAACTGGGGCTTCGTACCTCCCGATGCAATCGTCATCTCTTCTGTCGCGTTGAATGATAAGCGCGAAAGAGTTCAACGGTTTCTCTTGCAATCATCTCGAACATTCTCTTCCTTCCTGCCTAATCCGAATCGAGACATTCCACCCACAGTGCAACCTTTCAGTTTATACTCTTCTCTCCGATATGGCAGCTTGAATCTCATCTTTTCTGACGAAACGACATCACTTGCGCCAATTTCCGAAAAGCAGCAAATATTCCGAGGGTACTTTGGCCTGTTTCAGCCACAGTTAGATATGGAAAAGCTAACCAGACAACTGCAAAAGTGCTTCGTCCCAACGGCAAAGTTGTGCGTCATTTCACAACCTGAAATGGACAAGTGCGGTCACATGAAGTCAGCCTTTCATACCAACAGTCTTCAACCAGAAATTTCTTGTGTGCTCGGGGAAAATACGGTGGACTGCATGCGAAAGATTCAACAAGGTCAGGCTGACTTGACAGTGCTTGATGCAGCCGATATTTACACGGCCAGCCAAAGGTACAATCTCGAGCCAATTTTGGCAGAAGAAAACAATCTTAATGACAGCTACTACGTGGTGGCCATCGCAAAGAAAGCTGATCCTACTACCGATTTGCTGTACTTGAAGGGCAAAAACTCGTGTCACTCGGGCTACAAAACTGCCGCCGGATGGGTAGTACCCATGGCCTTTCTACTTTCCAACTCTCGAGTGCGCCCATATGGCTGTAACTCGATACAAGCTGCCTCTGAGTTCTTCTCCAAGTCATGTGTTCCAGGAGTACTGGCCCCCGAGTACCACGGGGGAGACTCCGTTTGGGAGTATGACAACCTCTGCGAGCTTTGTCACGGAAACTCCTTTCGCTACTGTAGTCGATCCACATCGGAGCCCTTTTTTGGTGACACTGGAGCGCTTCGGTGCCTGGTGGAGGGGGGTGGAGATGTGGCCTTTGCTAAGCACACTACCATTCTGGACAACACCAACGGCCGAAACTCTGACTTCTGGTCACGAAACAAAATCGACGATGACTTTGAGCTGCTCTGCCGAGACGGATCGCGGTCGGAGATTAAAGACTTTGCCAAGTGCAATCTCGGTCAGGTGGCCTCAAACGCTCTGGTCACCAGTCGCTACAAGCCCTTCTCGCATAGACAGGCCTACTCCACCCTCTTCATCTACGCGCAGCGCTTCTACGGATCAAAGTACTCCAAACCTTTCACCTTTAAAATGTTCGTCTCGGGTAAGAAGTACAAGGATTTGATCTTCCAGGATTCCACCATCAAGTTGAAGCCCATTCCCGAGGCTAGGCGTGACCATCGCAGCTACCTCGGTCATGAATTCCTCAAAGCAATGAGCATTGTCGACTGTACTGCCGCATCAGCTTCCCTCTCTGCCTCATTGACGGTGCCTTTTCTCTCTTATCTAACCATTTACTGGTTCTTCTTTCCATGATCAGCAATCTCACAATTTTTTATTTTTGTATACATTATCTTTATTTTCTACCTTGTATATCTATTTGCATAAGTTGCTCAAGTATTTTATTTAAAGTATTAATATACATTTGAATTGTTTCTGTTTCAACTCTCTCCTGGTTTGTTTGGTTTCCATGGCTACAGATGAAACTGAAACATTCATTGCGATTTGAGCTTGTTTTCAAACCAAGTCTAACTGTAAACTGATAATAATGTCTTATCAAACTCGGGTGGAATATGATCAAGTCGTCACACAGGTAAGCATTTGTAGATTGACCAATTTATAGTTGATAACTACAAAGACTTTTTTTCAATTACAGATCAGCAACAATCAGCTTCTTGCGACCAACGTGAAAAGTATCGACGACAATCAAGTGATCACTTTGCCTACCACAGTCGAGACTTTTGTGTTGAATGGAAAAGCTGACTTATTGGCGGTTCTTCAGACNCTTACAAAGAATTTTTTCGCATTTACAGATCAGCAACAATCAGCTTCTTGCGACCAACGTGAAAAGTATCGACGACAATCAAGTGATCACTTTGCCTACCACAGTTGAGACTTTTGTGTTGAATGGAAAAGCTGACTTATTGGCGGTTCTTCAGACGGACCAGCAGTGGCAGTTTTATCATCTCAGCACCGGTGATCTGGTGGAGTGTAAGCACAAAATTGAAGCAAAGCCATTTCAGCTGGCGCTCTTGCACTCAGCAACCGAAAGTTTGTGGTTGGGCCAGCTACGAGGCGATATTTTGTCTTTTAAAGTGCAGCATTTTAATGAAAACATTCACTACGAATGTTCAGTCAAAGCTCCGTCTGAGGTTGAGAAAAATGTTCAGTTAGTCGATTACGCTTTCTGCAAAGACCGACTAGTCTGTGTTTTTGTGGGAGAAGAAAACAGTGTGATTGGGCAGTTTCGCTTATCGAGTAAGCAAATTGAGTTAGTCAGCAGTCGACTGTTTGCTGAGAATCGGGTTGCCAAGCTGGAATGCAATCCTGATAACGACTTGCTGATTTGCTGCACTGAAAACAATACGGTCCTCCTAATGGACGAAGAAGAGGTGTCCACCTGGCAAATCAAACCACCTTCTGACATCAAAACGATCTGCTTTGATGTCAGTTTTGGACTGGCTTTCTGGGTGGCCACAGAAAATCTGCTCTACTTGCTGTACTACATTCGCAGTGAACACCAAGTTGTAGTTTTGGAAACGATGGACAACAAAAACGACAGTCCACTGGTGGCTTCACAACTGCCTCACTTGTTTACCTTGTCCGGAAACACGGTGTCGAGTGATCAGTACAAACAGCTATCATACTTACAAAATTATCAAAAAATAATCACCGATATGTTCGCAATGGACTCTAAGCAATTCGTTAAGCACCTTCACAATAGCGATTATGGTGATAAGGCACTTTGGTTGACCATTGCTAAACGCTGTCTGGTGGATAATGACATTCAATCGGCGGTATACTGCGCAGCCAAGGTAGGATTAGTACTTTTGGAATTGCAAGTTTATTTAATTTTGTGTTTTGTGACAGATGAAAGATGCACGCCTTGCTCGAAGTTTAAATGACATGGCTTCCGAAGGACAGTCTCTCACATCAGCCTTACTGGCCTTGAATCTTGGCTTAAACGAAGAAGCTGAAAAAGTTCTGGAACACGAACCAACGGCACTATCGAAAATCTATCAACTTCAAAACAAATGGAATGAGGCCTTTGTAAGCGCCGACAAGATTCAAATAAAGAGTGTCTACTACAACTATGCTCGGCATTTAGAAGAGGAAAGTAAAATTACTGAAGCCATAAAGTTCTATGAAATGTCAGGAAACATTCTAGAGGTGAGCACAGTAGTAGTTTTTAACAAGAAAACTGACCAAAATATAAAACTAGGTGCCGCGGATGTTGTTTGAGACTGGGAACATAGGCCAACTGGAAGAGTACTGTCTTCAGTCACACAAGAACGACAAAATGCAGGCAAGTCTGGTCACCTGGTGGGGCCAGTACTGCGAAAGTCAGGGAGAGCACCAAAGGGCGCTGGAGATGTACCAGAGCGTGTCCGACTACTACAACCTGGTGCGGCTGATGTGTCACGTCGGTCAGACGGAGAGGGCCATTGAGATTGTCAATGAGCACATTGAGAGTCGACAGGAGGGCGAGGTGGAGCGCAGCACACGCTCCGACATGACTGCAGCCATGCTGTACCTGGGCAAGCACTTGGAGGCAATGAACAGTACCGAGTCCATTCACTACTACCTCCACTGCGGCGCCATTCGACATGCTCTGAGGGTGTGCATCACCGGGGAGCTGTACGACGAACTGGTGGGCATCACCGTGCAGTACTGTGAACAGAAGGAGGCAAAGCACATTCTCCACACCTACTGCACGCCTAATCAGGCGCTCATTCGCGAGGAAAATTTGGTCAAACTGTTCTACAAGGTAACTCTTATTAGTTTTAGATATAAAGTGCTTTTATTTTTCCTTCTTTTTTCGCAGTGTGGCCTTGCCCGGGATGCTATTATGCTGGCTATCGAAAATCAACTCTGGAATCAGCTACGTGAAATCTGCGAGAGTGAACTGTCTTGCGAGACACGTGACTTTGCAATACCCGATCATGTGCTGAATTCTGCACTGGAGGCTCTGAAGAACGACACCAGCATAATCGACATTGTCATTGATCTGATCATAATGTCCAGTTCAGGTAACTTTGGCCTGATAACGCAGACCATACAGGAGTATGGCATCAATGTGGACGACCAGCTGATGGACAAGCTAGAGCGGTACATGAGCAATCAGAAGAACTTCGCTCTAGTAGACACCTTTGCAGAGTTGTGTCTGGAGAAGGGGAACTACCAGCTGGCGGCTAAGCTGTACAACAAAATCGGTCGACGAGTCGACTCTCTGAAAGCCCTGATTCGGGCAGGAAACGCTGAAAAGGTGGTGCAGTTTGCAAACGTCGCTCGAGACAAAACTGTCTTTAAGATGGCGGCTAACTTTCTGCAGACCGTCAACTACGAAGACACCTCGCTGATTGTAAAGTTCTACACAAAGGCTGAAGCATTCCAAGAACTAGATCGGTTCAAAGCCGAACTCGACTCAAAGCAGTAGTATGGGCCTACTAAATCTTGTTCCTTGCAGAACGATTGGCATTTCTCCTGCAGTAAAGTCTATTAATTGCGTGTTTGGCATTCCTTCCGTCAACGCATCTCTTTGCGCGCAGAACGGATGAGGTTTCAGGTGTGCTGAGGAGTACACTATTAGGGGCGAGAACTGCCTGCTCTGAAACAGCAGCATTCTGCAAAAGTAATTGTAAATTGGATGGGCGTTTGAGGGTGAACGCTGACACGGGGGACATGGCTGCAATTCATTGGATCATCATCACTCGTAGTGGTCGGCAGTCATCAATATTGCCGCTCTAATGGCCTCCACTGCCTCCGCTGCCCTCACTGACAATGGAAAGGCAGTGATGGCGAGGTGGCAGGTAGTTCCATGTCGACATGCAGTCTCACTGTGTCAGTCTCTTTCGCTGAGGCTATAGGCTCGATCTATTAACTGTAAACGGAGACGCGTCCATCGCTGAATGTCTTGAATTCCTCGCTCAATTAAACGTCTCTGCAGTAAGAGCGCAGTGCCACTGATTGGTTTGCGCTGTCTGCTTTCTTTTTCTCTTTTCTCTTCAAAGTGAGTGGTGACGATGAACTGTGCCATAAAGACACAGGCCAAAGTCACTCACAAGTTGCCTGCACAATTTACAACTTTAATGTGATCTTTGCACACCTGTGCAGCTTAGATCGATCAGAAGCCCGAATAGCACCGAATTGAATGGTAGAAGCCAATTGAAGGTAAATGCAAATGAAAGTAGAAAAAACAGCAGCAGCAGTATACTGACAGGCTGGGGTGATTGCCGTGCGTCAGCCTTCGGTTCATCGGTCCTTCTTTCAGTCAAGTGTTTACTGCAAATTTAATTAGCCATACAGCCCCTGTAAACACTGCTACTACTCTATCACAACTGCTGATGCTCAAGGTGACTACTACTACCGCTGGTGCTATACTGTAAAGTGTTGAGTCCAGTGGAACGAGAATCGCAAGAATGTTTCCTTGAATAGACAGTAAAAATCGATCGATAATGTTTGCTTTACTCGATTATTGAGGCCGTAAATTATTTGTTGCAAGGAACAAATCAAGCATATTGTGAGCTGACAATTAAGTACATGTGTTTGGCACTTTGAGGAGTTAGAAGAGGAATTAAGATAAGACAGTCTACGGCTGTGCTTCGGTCGCTTGTTTTATGCGAAATATCGATCACAGGCTGTGATTCACAGTTGGTGGGCAGATAAAATCAGTCGCCACGCAGTCTCTCGCAGTCGCGGCCGATGGCGTGTCGTAAAGAGCAGAGAAGGAACAAGAATATAAAGCAAAGAGCAGCGCAAAAAATGTGCCTCTCCGACATTTACGAGCATGGAGATTCTGCCTTAGGTAATTGGCACTGCTCTCTCCCTGCACCGAAAGAAGAAGAAGGCTAAGTCTGCGTCTTCTTCGTTCTCTTCGATGTTCACTTGCTGGCTTCCCTCATTCGTCTCTCGCTCCTTCGGCCAGGCACTGTACCTACCTGTGCACTGCGACCACTGCGAGCACTGTGCACCTGACCGCTGGCACACTGCTAATCGGTCCATTCGCTTCGCTATTTGCACATTTACACTTTCAGTGGTGATGGCACTTTGGCAATGTGTCTCTTTCTCTCTACAAAGATTGTGTGCACAGAACAGTCAGCATTGGCATGACCACTGAAGCAAACAAACTGGGGCCTACAACTGCCGCAGCTGAAGAAGACAGTCACACCAAATTGTTTGGCGATTGGTTATTGCACGTGGTGTCCTTGTTTTACTGTTCGGACGGAGCATTCTCTTTCTCACCCTAAACTTGTTGCAGAGCAAGTCCGAATGAGTGCCACAAAGAGTATGTGTGTGTGTGGAGTGTCCTTTGACGGGGGACACCTTTGCCAGGAGCAGCAATTGACTGCAACGAATGCAGAGAGGGGAGAGGAAAGCTGACGATGCCTCCAATTGAATGCTGCATTTGTCCACTCACTGAAAGGACTGAATCGAAGCAGTTGAGCGTGCCTGTAATGAGGCAGCAGTTGTCGGCGGCATTGCCAGTGGTGTCGGTGGTGCTGTTCCATCGACACCATCTTGTCATTGCCACTAATTAGAGTCGTTCGTTGAGCCATTGGCCCTCACTTTTGCCTCTTCGATGTGCGTTTGGCGAGGCCATCTGCATTCACTGGCGCACCGTGACAGGGGCCGCTCTACCAGACAGGACTCGGCCAGTGGAAAACAAAGCAACGGCCCAGTGAGCGAGGCTGTGCGAGGCAGCTCCGGTGAATGGAGTGCCCGCCAGAGAGAGAGAGAGAGAGAGAGAGAGAGAGAGAGAGAGAGAGAGAGGGAAGGNGAGAGAGAGAGAGAGAGAGAGAGAGAGAGAGAGAGAGAGAGAGAGAGGTGATTCTGCTCCAAATCGATCTCGGCGCTTTATTAATACCATTGGTTTTGTCCGAATCAAGTCTGTTATGAAGCGATACAAAGCGCCAAATGCAAATATTTTCTTTTTCCCCATTGATGGCTTAAATCGATTTTAAAGAGAGAGAGAGAGAGGGAGAGAGAGCTCAGACAAAGTGCGAGCGTACAGTCTATTGAGAGGAGAGTACTGCACCGACAAGGGCCATTGAACAGTGAATAGAGTGAGCATAGATGAGACAGACAAAGGCCAGAGATCGACTGAACGCGCCGAACCGCCGTCCCTAGACTGAAGCACTAGTGCTTGCTGCACTTTAAATTGATATTATTGGCCTCGATGTTGACAATTTGCACGCCAATTGACATGCTCTCGGGTCTGGTCAAAGGCGAACACGAGTTCGCGCTCTCTTTCGACATGTTCGGTTTGACAGACAAAGGCTCCATTATTTAAACATTTCACCATGACTACGGTACTAGTCACTGCACTGAGGTTCACGTTTTAATCACCGCCAGTGCAATGTTAAATCATCGAATTATGTCCTAATTGAGACAAATTCACCGTGCTCCGTCGCTCAGTCCTCTGAGCCACCTAGTTTTGTCGCCTCTCCGCTTTTGACCTTTTGACGAAGCACCTATTTATCAAAGAGAACTCTGTTTCTCTTGCAAAGATGGGTGGATGTTCAGGGCTGAGGCAGAGGACACAAAGCACATCATTGTGACAATGCGACAAGTCTGCTCAAGTTTGGCATCATCTCATCTCCGTCACGCCACCTTCGGCGTCGACCAATTCACCTTAATTGGGCCAGTGATTTGTCAACCACGACATGCGCTTTCACGGGCATTGTCACTCTATTGAACCGTACTAAACTGCGACTAAACACTGCCTAGGTAACTTGAAACTAGATTCTCATAATTGGCCACAGGACAGTCTCAATTACACCGTGAGCCTCAATTTATTTGTGGTGTTGCATTTCACAAGAGAGGTCACACTAATTTTTGATAGGTCTTGTCGATCATGTAGCGGACCAAAGAGGACACAGCCAGACACGGTAGACAATATGGACTGCATCGAGAGAAGGTGCCCTTTAGTGGGCAAACATTTGGAGTATGAGATTGCTGGGCCGATACGCCGACACTGCCTTAGTTCGCAGGGGCTGCTGTCAGGCTAATCGAGCCCGGGCAAGTGGCAGCCTCGCGAGTTTGACTTATTCTCGCTCTCTTTCTTTCTCCCTCTCTCTCCTCTGACCACAGACAAATCGCCTGCACACGCTTGACATCGACGCCGATAAAGATCAGCTTTGTCTACTGTAAACTTTTGTTGTATGCGATCGGCCAGGCAGCAACAGCAAGAGCAACCTCAGCAGCAAGTCAAAGTGCGGCAGAGAGTGAGGCTGAAGGTAGCGGTGTGTACTCTGCTCGATCGTCCTCTTCGCCTAGATTGATCATCACCCTGCTCGACATCTCGTTCCTGCTGGCCGCAAAGCTATCGATATCGCATCGCTCTTCAGTCACTTCGCTGCCAGGTAAGGCAATCAAGAGGGGCAGCGGGCAGCTAAATCTAATTTATTAAAATGTCAAAATGCAAATACTCACTCTAATGGAAAATTAATTAATTCTCAGTCGTACTCAATATTTATTACGAATACTCGAGCACTGGAGTAGACATGCCACTTTGCTTCACCGGTGGACACTGATATTTACGATTGCACTAATGACCGCCATATCACAGCGAAATTCGCACTCACACCGAATGCGACTCGTCGTCGATTTGTCTTGCTATTCCCATCCGATCCGTACTTGAGCTACCACCACCACCGACAACACCGTCCTTTTGTCTGAATACCCACCGAAGCTGGTCATTGGCTACGGCGGCCACTCAATTAACTTGCCTCCATGTTCGGACCGCTTGTCTCCATAAATCAAGGCTCACCACCAAGTCACAGGCGTTGGACCACTGAACTATGTGCTTCTCGGTGCTTCTTTTCTCACAAGCACAAAATGGTACTGTGTCGCATCTTTTTGCGTCTTTTTTGCGATACTTTGTGACGCCTTCACTTCTAGAACTCTTTCTCTTGGGTAAATTCTCTGAATAAAAAAGTTCATTTTAGTAGAGCAGTGCACCTACATAGGTTCATTCATCTTTATGATAATTAGAGTGTGAAAGTGGGCATTTTGTGGGCAGGTTCCAGTAGCCACTGGTTAACCACGTAATTATAGCTTGTGCGGTAGTCTGCCGATAGTTTGCCCTAATGGAAGTGGCCAACGGGAGTGGATGATAATTAGATAGTGGGGCAGTAGTGAAAGCGAAACCGTGAGCACAGCTATCTCTGGGGAGGCAGCACTTAACACATTTGAGTGCTATATCCGGCGCAGAGCGTCCTCACTGGCTGCCGTCTTTCAATCACCGTCCATGTTTGTTTGTTTTGTTGAAGCCACTCGATTCACACTCGATTCAGTCCATTACGTAAGAGTCAGTCAGTCAGCTAGTGGCTGGCACTTCCTTGCCAGGCAGCTCAGTGCTCAAACGGTCGACTTGTCAGGCTGTCATTTCCTTTCACTCGGACAGTTTATGTTAGCGTCAATTGAAGTTGTTGGCAGTCAGTGTGTTGGTAGTGTTGGTTGTGTTGGCCAGCCACGGAAGGGCACTGGAAAGCCTGACTGGGAAGCTGCGAGCTGTCCGAGCCACAGCTAGCTGCCAGAAGCATTCGATCGGTGATTGCACTGTTTGACTGCAGCTGACGACTTCAATGATGAATGCGTGATGCATCCATCTACCAGTGCAGATTTATGTCCATTCAAATAATGGCGAGTCGAATAGGCCTCCAATGGCCTCCAATGCCACCGTTCACCATCCAATGCATCTCTCTTTCTCTCTCTCTTTTTGCGCCCAGTCCAAATATTTACATTCACGCCATCGGATTGCTCGCTTTATTTATTGCCATGGCAGTGATTATTATTTATTCATTTTATTGTGTGCACTTCGCAATGGTAACATAAATTAGAAATAAGTTAAATTAGTTCGATTATAGAATGTCAATAATAGTGATGTTCTCCTCAGCGCCAGACCACTTGCTACTGCCTGCACTGGATTTAGTTTGAAAAAAGGCTCACACTGGAGCGTGCTTGCAAAGTGGTGCAGGTTTGCAGTGGCCACAGGCCGGAAGGAGTATCACATTGGCAAGTTGCGAGTTACAATCGACGATGCTTTGATTGATTGTTGGTACCATTTAAAGCTGAGTGGTATGGTATTTAAGTAGAGTAGAAGTGAGTGACGCCGATAGTTTGCAGTGAGGAGAAGTCAAAAAGGAGGTGGAGAGGAGAGAGAAGTGTGTTGGGGAGAGAAAGCTTGTGTGTTTCCATTGCAAATTGTACAGATCAAAGAGAGCTGAGATTCAACGTTATATAAAGTGGGTGGTGGTGGGAGTGGTTGTGGTAGTGGTGATGGTGAAGTTGGTGGTGGTACTCTGAGCAAAGAGACCGTGCGGGTGCAAACTGCAAGCTGTGTTGACTAGGCAGGAAGCAGTGACACTAATCAGTGCGAAATGAGCGGTTGTAGTTGGGTCGAGGTGCGCGCTGAAGTAGGCTCAGGAAAAGAGCAACGACAGTGGAGACGATGAGAAGAGAAGATTACAAGGGTCCGTCCGATGTGAAGACTCGATGCACTATGTACAAGAGGAGGAGGAGGAAGAAGAAGGGGTGAGTGCGCCCTAGTAGGTATTGATGGCGGCGTGTGGGTGGTGGTGGTGAAAGGTGGGAAGTGGATGACTGCCTAGCGGCGAGGCCTCATTGCTGGGTGGAGTGGGCATGCCGGCTGACTGTGACATGTACCAGTCGGTGAGACTGTTTGTCCCGTGGTGTCCACCCAGAACTGCATTGTTCGACAGTGAGGTGAGCATGCTCGGCGCCGTTGGGAAGCCACTCTGCGAGATCGGGTGCTGCCCGTGGTGGTACCCAGAGGCACTGAGCAGTGGCGACGAAATCTGATGGTGGTGGTGATGATGGTGGGCGTTGTGTTGTTGCTGCTGTTGCTGCTGCTGATCGCCACTGCTCAGATGCGAGGCGTTTCGCTGGTGATTCGTCGAGTTCGATGAGTTGTTGAACTGCGAACTGCTGCTGGACACCACCGGAGAGCTGCTGGCAGTGTGCGAAGTTGCCCGGCTGTTACCGTCACTCTCGTAGCCCGATCCGGAGCTGATGGTCGACGTCTGATCTCCGTTGGACATGCCGTGCGGTGACATTGGTTTGTCGTGCACCTTCATGTGCTTACGCAGTGAGCTCGGGTGTGTGTAGCTCTTGTCGCATCCTTTCATCTTGCAGTTGTACGGCTTATCACTGGTGTGAACGTGGCTGTGCTTCTTTCGATCGGAGCTGTTGGCGAATCGCCGATCACAGCCTTCATATTCGCACTTGAATGGTTTCTCTCCTGCAAACGAGGCAATAGCAAAACATAGTTAGTATGGTCAGATTGCATTCTCTTATAGTGCTTCGTGGTGCTTTTATGTCACCACCATCAAATAGTGCTACACTCACAACCAGAAGAGTGGTGAGTCGCCGCAGATGCTGCTGCTTGAACAGACCAATGACCAGTGGCCAGCTAGAGTACGGGGAATACACACACACTTTTACTTTAGACAAACTGGCACTGCAAACTGCAAACTGGCGGTAAAAGTGGCAGTGGCACTGGCAAAGCGAGCCAGATTGATGGTGCCATCGCCTCAGCCGCCACCGTCCTAGTCAATCTTTCTCGAGTCAGATAGCAAAGAGCAAACTTTTCCTTGTAAGAATTGACAAAGAAGCTACTTTTCACTGAATGCCATGTATCTCAAGGCAATGTGGCGTAATTAACGCATCTGTCAGGCAAGTGAATCAATATGAATCGGCAGGCAAAGGCGATTTACACTTGCGATGATATACTGGCCGAGTGAAGTAGAAAGACAAAATAAATTAATAACAACATTCCAGATTACGATCTACTGTGACTGGTTAAGTGGCGAATGGCACTGGGCAGTGTGCAGTGAGCTGACTGCAGCCATTTCGGTGTCTGCCCGCAGGCACTAACACCTGCAATATTTGGCCAGCTTGTTGCTGTTTGCGTACAGGACACACACACAATTACGGCCAACACTACCACTGACTGCAGCTAATACAACTCAGCTGCAAGTTGCTGCTGCCCTCAGTGCGCTGGTTGCGATTTGTAATACTATTGCCATTAAAAATAATAAAAGAAGCCACTGGAGAAAAGAAGCGAAAGCTAAATAAATGGCATTCGGCAAGTCTCCTCCATTTGAATACGAGAATAAATAGTTAGTCAGAGCGGGAGAAAGAGAAAGAGAGAGAGAGTGAGAAGGAGCCCGAGTTGGCCGAGAGGGAAACGGACGGCGAAGAGGGCATTGCGAGGAGGGGGCAAGACAAAGCGGGAATAAGGTGAATAGAAAACGTTGATGAGGAGAAACAAATCATTTCAATGGGAATGAGATGAGTCAAGGTGAGAGTGAGCCAGTGAAAGGCTCGCAGGGCAAACCAGCTAAGACAATTGACATTGGGTGGGCCTGCCTGACCTATTGCCACAACGCAGAATGCAGAATGCGAGAATCACACTGGCAGTGGGGAGAACGAAGTGCGAGATTATGAATGATTTAATGGCCTGCAGCCAGTCAGTCACTCGGCCCATGGCAGAATGACAGCTCGATGATGAACAACTGCACACTGGTGACACTGCTGACGACGACGAATGGTGCTGTACAGGAGGACAACGCACTTGCTCACAGACAGACACTGCACCACTCATCAGCACAGAGCTGCCTGAGGTGTCGTTCATGTCGATGGCTGCTAATCACTTAATTCGCTCCATTGTTCACTGTTCCTAGCTGCCTGACTATTCTTCAAATTGTTTGGCTGCTCATTACCGACTAATTAGTGATTGCCAATGAGCATATGTTTCTAATCAGAGACATTTGTGGTTACTGCTGCTGCAACTTCGCTTCACTGGCTAATGGTAACATAATGCAAATGTTGTGCGTGATTACTGCGACTAAAACGTTTTTGCCACTGAACCACTGGCTACTTTAGATGGTAAGTAATCGCAACTGAAGCACACTTGCATACACACAAGTTAAGCAGATTAAGCATGCACTGAGCCTCTGAGTGCCTACTAGCACAAGGCCTACTAGCATCGGATTGATTTCGCCGTGTCAACAAGCACTCTACAAAAGGACACATGGTGCAAAGTGTGGTGTAGTGTTTGGCAGTGTCAATGGTTGTCGTTGGTTTGCACTCGTGGTAACCATCAACACAAAAAGAGAGGCCCTTTCTGGAGGCCCAGTCCGAGTGCACCAGAAGCAGCAACAGCAGCAGCAGCAGGCGCACAACCGAAGCCCCACTGATTGATACATGCGCGCTGATGATCGATGCTGCCCATTAGTCGGTGTAAAGTTGAATAACTCCATTCAGATAATAGAGCACATAATAGAGCTGAATGGCGATTGCAATTTAAATTAATACTGCTGGCGCATGAAAGGCAAAAACAATTAAAGCGTGGAAGAAATGTTTCATTTGTTGGCCTGTCAGTTGGTCTGTCTCTCTGCGAGTCGATGGTCGCCGCATGCGGTCTACTCTGTTTATGACAGTTTCATGTTTTGTGAATGATAAGCAGGCAGTGAGTGAGACCAACACAATAAGACACACTGCGCGCCGAGGCTGTGGCAAAGATTGAGGCTCCTCTGACAAGACACTCACTGCCACTCGCCGAACACTGCACCGGCCACCGACTTTGTCCGACACACTGAACACCGAGTTCACTCACTCTGTGCCGTACTATGCAATCACATTCGAAGACACAATCACAACGCAATCGGTCGCAACTTGCTCCTTATGCTGCAGTTAGATGATGATGGTGGTGGTGGTGGTGGTGGTGGCGGTGATGACGATGACTGAGATGCAGTTTGCTCCTCACTCAACTTGAGAGGAGAGAGAGAGGAGCCAGCTCGCCCAACTCCAACTCCTAAGCAACCGACTGAGACGCCAGGCACTTGAGGGCAGTACAAAAGAAGAGCACAGAAGAGGTCTTTAGAGTAAAGCAGCCAGGAAACCAGCAGAATTTGCAAGTGTTTAGAGGGCAGTCACTGAATGTCACTGGCAAAGCAAAAATATAACTCAATTTCAGTGCTTGTACTACTCAGTGCACAAAATCTTGCAGTGCAGACGCGATTTGTCTTCCAAGCCACCGAAAGAAAAGTAAACGTGGTGAAGGCAATGCAGATGTTCAAGTTGCAAATTAGACAGTCACGAACTACAGTGGCCGAGTGAAACTACACTCCTTGGGAACGCGGTGGCCAAATGTCAGCACTGACTCAGGTGCACTCACTTCAACGTGGGCTTTTAATTAATTTTTAATTTCTCATCAACAAATCAAGACCAGTCAAGAAGACTTCTTGCCACGACCGAGCGACCAACTCGGCCAAGTGAGTCAGGTAGCAGGGAATATTAAATTTCAGCACATTACTCATGACATCATCACTAGGCGCAATTAGACAGCCAGCCAATTAGAAAGCCTACTACTAGTCAGTTGACAAGTCAAATTGGCTCCACATGAATTGACTTGGCACCAATGTCGAAGGCTACGAGGAAGAAGAACGAGGTTTTGAAAGAGTGCACTCAGTTTTGTCCAACTTCAGCAAACCAATACTCACAGTCGTTGCATAGAAACTATACAAAGTACGCTACCTCAGCTGGCAAATTGAGAGCCTCGATGATGAAGTGCTGCAGTGAGGCAGCAGCAGCATCAACGGCAAAGACAGCAGCTTCCATGTAATCATGGTCGCTAATTTATGAGGCGAACAAAGCGTTTTGCGGCGGCAACTCAACCGCCGCCAAACAAGCTCGCAATGCCTACTGATCCGTGTGGCGATCGATTGAACAGTGGGCGCAAACTAACGTCACCTGAGACTGCGGCAGAAGCATTCGCCTCTATGGTAACTGGATTCAGTTGGGCTACTGCGAGAATTCTGACACTCGCTCGGTGTGTGCCAACACCAAATGACGTTTACGCTGGAACTGGTGAGCAAGTGAGACCAGCAAAGCGCAGGTACGCAACGACTCTATAAGCTGCGAGTGAGCACAGGAAGGTAGTGATGATGATGATGATGATGGCCGCACTGGGACGGAATGATTAGCAATGGCACCGATGGCAGTGACAAAGCGGACTGAGCGGGGACAAGTTGTGCGCAGGCAAGGGCTAATTGTTCGTCTCCTCACTGCAGACTTTAATGATCTAATGTGAGGGCAAACAGCGAGAAGGAGCAGAGCGAGAGGTCGCGCCCAGAACCATAACACCACCATAAATCATTGTCACGGTGAGCGCCGCGCTTCGTCTTGCAATTTTCTTCTCCACACAGCTTCACGCTTATTGTTTAGAGTGAATTTTGATTTAAACAAATAAAACCATTTCGATTTGGACTCTCTCTCTCTCTCTCCTGTTCTCTTTCCTCGACGAGGACAACACAATGCCAGGCAGACACAGTCATATTCAATTAGCGGTGACAGCCGCACCAGTGCACTCGCTGTGTTTGCCGATTTTGCTTGTTGCACCAAGACACCGTGCAAGAGAGCACATTTGTGGGCAGCAATTGTTGGCAAGCACCTCAAAGGCACCACTGAAGTGACAGTGTCAAGTGAGCACAAGTTGACTGACCAACAGATGCGCCCCAGCTGGTGCTGGTGAGCTGGTGTTGATTACTGTCAGCAGTGATGCGACTTAAGCTCTTGACTACTTAAACGCGTGCGCTAATTAGCTTCTGGTTGTGCTGCTGGTGGTAGTGGTGATAAGCAAAAAAAAGTATTGAAATGATCATGCCAGTTACAGTACGCTAATTGCCCCATAAGGAAAGCATGTGCGTGTATGTGCCAAGTGTGTTGCTCAGTCAAAGTTTGCCTCAAGAGGAAAAGTGAGAGATAGAGTCTGTGCGTCTGCAGTGGCCAACTTCATTTTAAGTATCTTTTCCTAGGAAAGATTAATTCTAAATCACCAAGTCGAACGGGCAAGCATTGCTTAGCAGGAATGCCAATCTAGCCTAAGGGCAAGCTAACCTCTAGTCAGTGTACACCTCGAGTAGAGCACACAGTTCAGGTAGCCTCAATAGTGCAGCGAAGAGCATGAGTCGGCCGATGGTGGTGGTCGACAGACTGACAGACTCGACGGCTGCACCATTGCACCATCACCATCTCACTAAACTGGTGAAGCACATGCAGCGAAATACGGCAAAATACAGCAGTTAGAGTAGCAATCAGACAACTTACCGGTGTGAGTGCGCTTGTGAATCTTGAGATTTTCGCTTCTGGCGAAAACCTTGCCGCAAGTTGGGTATGGACAAGGAAATGGTTTCTCGCCAGTGTGCACTCGAATGTGATTCACCAGCTTGTACTTTGCCTTGAAGGGACGTCCATTGCGAGGACAGTCACTCCAGAAACAGGTGTGATTGGAGCACTCCGGGCCGCCGACGTGCTCCACCGTTATGTGGGTCACTATTTCGTGCATCGAGGAGAAGATCTTGTTGCAGGCTTTCTTTGACAGTGGCTGGTCAGGATCGATCCACTGGCAGGCGAGATCCTGAGGCTTCATTGATGAGGGGTGACATTGCGACATGTAGCGAATGAGAGCGGCACTGTGAGCCGCCGAGTGCATGTTCATCGACGTCAGATGACCCATGTGACCGTAGGGGTGATGGTGGTGATTCTGGGCGAATCCGTGGTGGTGATCGCCGCGTGCGTACACCGATGAGTCAGTGTTGTGCAGTGGCAGGCGCATTTGACTATTTACATGGCTAGAGTTGTGGCTGCCGTCAAAGTTGGAGAAGAGCACGTGGTTCTCGCTGGGATTGCCGTGGTGAGAGGGGAACATGTTGCTCGGCGGCTGCACTGAGGACATGTCGTGCGAGGCAAAGGGCGCAATGGCCGACATGCTCATCGAGTGCTCGCGCTTAATCAGAAAATCACGGGCCCCATAGTTGGGATGGTGCGTGGGGAGGCCGTAGCTGGCTGCGCCAGCGCCAGCGTGGAATGCCTGTCCTCCGCTCTGGCCATGGCCGGCGATCAGTGGCTCGGTGTTGTTGTTGGCCGACGATGGACTAAGCTTCAGTGAGTTCATGTGCAGGCTGGAAGGAGTGGAGGTGGCCACTCGGCTGCTGGCGCTGGTGCTGTCCACGAAAGGATTAAGCATCTTCATCGGCCGCTAAAGCACCGAGGAGTACGACGACGACTGTTGGCACTGCTGCCGACACGAGACACGAATGCACGAGATGGTGGCACTGCTTCTCACTGTCAGTGCAAATGTGTGTGTGAGTATGTGTGTTGCTGAAACTGCTTCGGAGGCGCGATGATCAGGAGATTAGACACGCTGGGCGACGAGTGGATAAGAGTCTGCTGGCTGCCTCACTCCGAACGACGAATGGCCAGTGACGACGGGGGCGAGAGAATCACTGCTGATGATGGTGCTACTGCTGCTGTTGCTGCTGGTGGTGACGGCGTTGGTAGTGCTGCTGCTGCTGCTGCTGCTGCTGGCCCACTCGGCACATCATCGAGGGGCTAATTTTAAACTGATTATCAAGATGAATTAATTCGAGCTCGATAACTAAGTTTATTGACGCTTCGTGGGCACATCGATTTGTAAAGGTTTAGCGGAGAACGCAGCGACGGCGGTGGTGAAATCGATCTCGCCGGGCATAAGCTTGCGCTTGGGCAAAAGTTGTGAGAGTCACGCTGAGAACGGCTTGGCCTCCTGTTGGAACGAGTCCGAAGTGTCTACTGGCGAAGTAAGTAACCCACTGCTGAGAGCTGTCGAACGAGTGCCCGCTCAGCAGTGGTAGCTCAGCAGCGGCGGCTCACCACCACTGCCACTGCACAGTGCTCTCCCGAAGAAGGCGTCCCCCGCGGGAGTGGTCAGTGACCAAGTACCTCCTCACTTTCAAATGTCGACGCGCCAATGCCAGCAGACGAGTGCAGCAGAGTGTTTGCAGTGTGTGCAGTGTGTGCAGTGCTGGCTCACTCGTTCTCCTGACTGACTCTAACTGGCTATAGGACGTGACGTAAGAGCACTGAGCGCCCATTACGAGTTGTCTGCTGGTGGGCGTCAAGCTCATCGCCAGAAAGTAAGAGTAGTAGACGAGAGCTCTCTTTCTCTGCCGCTGAGCCGAGCTGAGCTGACACCCGCCAATTGGTCTCAATATTTTGACACTTGTGCAGCGGTTCAGGCAGTGGTTGTCCTGCTACTACTACTACCACCAGCAATGTTGTTGCTACTGCGTCTACGGCTTCTGTCCTGCCAAAAGGCCAATCAATTGGAGGCATTGCTAATGAAGGAATTGGAGATCCAATTCGCACTTTAGTGGCATGGCAACGGAACAACAAAATCAGCACGAGATCGCACTAATGACGAGGACAGTGGCTGACATCGACCGAGGTGGTCGCCAGTCAGCGGACCGAATGGGCCCGCGGCCGATTAATGCAAACATGACACGAAATGGCAATCGCAATTAACTGATTGCATTCCCTTACTTTGGCGTTGGCCACTCACTGGCTTTTTTGGGAGCTGGTTCAGCAGCAACAACAGAGGCACAGTTCTAAACAGAGGTCGATCAATTACGGCTTGTGGACAAATTAAAAAAGCAGAAGATCAGTGGAGCAGCAATAGACAGACAGCAGTAATGACACTACCAGCGCACCACTAATGCTAATGCTATGATTACACTTATGATTAATGCACAGCGTATTAATGGCTCATTTAAATGAAGACAACTCTCCAAGTGGCTGAACTCAAGAGAGGGAGAGAGAGAGTCGGAGACTGCTTGGAGACAATTGACAATTGCCGACAATGCAAGTGCTCTGCGTAACGAGGATGCCTACCCGACTGATGGTCGCAATGAAGCCTCAAACACTGTTCACTTTGCAGACTTAGTGAGCCATGAAGGAAAGCANAAGAGAGAAAAGTCGACTCGGAGACTGCTTGGAGACAATTGACAATTGCCGACAATGCAAGTGCTCTGCGTAACGAGGATGCCTACCCGACTGATGGTCGCAATGAAGCCTCAAACACTGTTCACTTTGCAGACTTAGTGAGCCATGAAGGAAAGCAGAAGCAGCAGTGGCAAAACTGCTGTCGCCGCAGTAGAACTGCCACCAGGCCACCAAACATTAACTCCAACTCATCGTTTGCTTGTGCTGCTTAAAGCTTCTGTGCTTAAAGAACGGTGCTACTGGCAATGGCACAATTACCGAATGCTTTTGGTACTTGATGATGGTGCCCGTGTCACTGCGCCAAGGCGATTCTTCTCGCAATGCTCGGCAGAACACAAGACCGCAGTTCTGCACTTGCTGCCGCACAATTGCGACCAGCAGTGTGGCCATTGTGTTTGCCTAGGCAAGTGCAAAACCAAAAGGAAGAGATGCTCAATAAAGCGATCCAAGCAGCAGACTGTGCAAAGAGGGCTAGTTAGGCACTGCAGCCATCAGACTAGCCTACTGCTGCTCCATTGAATCACAGAGAATAATTAGCCAATGCATCGACTTGATAATATAATTGATCGTTTAACTGAACCAGGATAAATCTTCTTCTGCTGGTCAATGTAGAGCAATGTTCAGTGCGGCAGAAGAATGGCCAATGGTTGAAGGAGAAGCGAAGTGGAATGCGCACCTAAGTGGATAGGTGTGCGAGAAAGCGGCAGTTTGGAGAGATTAGCTGCCAGTGGGATTGTGCAATGGCGATGTGAATTACTCTGCGCCAGAACTAAGAAATGACAGCAGCATATATGCATTTATATAGGATTTGCGCAGCGTGATGTCCGGAAAATTAAAGTTTGCCTTCACTAATGAAATAAACAGTAGGTCTCAGTGCAGCAGCATCAGCAGCACCATCAACAGCAGCATCAGCCTGCAATCACCGTGGCGAGCCAATCTGCACTGTGATGCCTCGTTGAACTTCTCAATGTACTCTGTCTTTCCTGCCTGTGCTGCTGCTGTTTTTGCCTTCGGAATAATATTCTTTGCCTGCTGTGGCACTCGGAACTGCCAAGATCAAAGATGTGAATGCGAAATGTGAATCACATTGAGCTGCAGCTGACTTTGACTTGAGCTGTCTTCCTTGTGAGCGCACTAGTCAATAACTGAGGAAGGCAGTGAAGTGTGCAGGTCGAAGTGCGAACGACAAACAGATTGCCCCCGATTGGAGCGACACAATAAATGGGCGCTCATTTGTGAGTCATTTGGCATTAATCGGCGTTCCAAATTAGTCAACTCGCGACTGCTAGTCACTGGGCCCACACTACACTGCCCGCTAATGGAGGAACGGATGCGTTCAGTAGGCAAAGTTTGGCTGGTTTGAGGGGCCCGCAGTGGAGCAGTGGCAGGGTGCTGGCAGGGAAGTCGGAACCGACTGCACAAGGACAACTGACTAAAAAACCACCAGGCTTGTGGCAGCGCGCGCCAGGCAGCAAAGATTGATGACACCAGTCGATATGCTCGGGCCTGAGCTGGGCTCCGCTTCCCCTGGTCAAACTGACTGCCTCTGCCACTGCCTGCCTGTGTTTGACTTTAATATGCAGAATTAGCGTGCCTGCTCGTAGTAGAGAATCCAATAAAAAGTCGCTTAGTGTTCTGTTCGCACGTGTCTTCGTTTAATCAAGTTAGGGAGCTGTAATTTATAGCCAGCACTGAAAGTGGCCGCACTGCGGACAGACCTAACTGGCCTTGCTCTGTCACTGGGCGGATTAGGCTTCGATTTGGCTACGTTTAATTGAATCACTGCCCGCGAATGACACTGTCGCTGTACTGTCTGAACATCGATGCCTCCACAAGTGAGTGCACGAGGCGGCGGTGGCAGGGGTAGACGTGTGCGTCGGTTGCGCCGGCTTGAATGCAAATGGCCTCACTTTGGCCAAACTGTCTCGCCGCAATAACATGTAAATTTGCTACCAACTGCAGGTTTACCCAAAGATGCTCTGCAATGTCCTCTCTCTCTCTCTCTCCTTCTCTTCTCAATAATGAAACAATTCACAGCAACTACTAAAAGCAGACAGGGACATTTAGTTGAACTATTGACTTGTGCTGAAGAGAGGACGGTGAGGCGTGAAACGGCAAGCCACCTTGGCGAGGAAGTGTGTGGTCTCTACCATGTTGCCACCAAATACAGTGGACAGTGTGTCTGCTCCACCATTCGCTGTCGCTCAATTTACGACACTTTTTTATGGTGCCTTCTCGGCGATCGGTATTTTTTACTAAACTAGTCAGCCTGACACGGCGCTATAGCGCTGCCTTCCTTCACTCCTTCAGTCCTCAAGACTCTGTGACAGTGACGACCTCTGCCAATGTCCAGGACATTGTTGGCCAGTTGAAGACATTCTTGGCGTGATGAGCATCGTCGTCGGCTGTACAGTACCACCTTTACCGCCCGAGACTACCTCCCTAGCTTTGTGCTTTATATATTTTTCTAAATAAATAGGGCCATCGCACAAGCCGGATCTAGTGTCAAATTAAAGCGAATGGCGTTAATAATATAAATCAGTGAGCGGTCCAATCTAATAAAGCTAATCTAAGTGCGCTGTCAATGTGTCTGCACGGGAAATGCGAGCGCTCGCCCGCAACTGCCTTCTTCTAAAAGAGAGAGCCGGAGAGTGAGCAAAAACTCTTGGGCATCTCTTTCTTCGGCAGTGGCAAGCAGGCAGCCAGTATTGCACTACAGCCTCAGCATCAGCTTCTCACTAGATTAATATAAATCCACGGAGCAATAGAGAAACGGTCGATGCGCGTGGATTCCCTCGACAGAGTCATTGGCGCGCCGAGCGTCGGACGAATGCCAGGCGGCAGCCTACATCGCTGCAGCTTCAGCATCAGCATCATCAGCCACAGCAGCAGCCAGTGTGATGCACAAGCTAGCTTTCTATTCTGCGAAACCCATTGTTGGTGGTGGACGAACTTGTGTGATGAAAAATTTCTGCATCACACATTGCTAGCTTTGTTTTAGGCCTACTCGAATAGGCTGCTGGTGCAGCAAACCACAGCAAGTGATGTGTGCCATTTCAGTCATCGCGCGGCCATCTCACTGCCACTGCGGCCAGCCACTTTGCCTCCTTCCATCAAGCCTCCTCTGGCCCACTCTGGCAGCAGCAGCACTCGCTATATCATCTCTGACTTCTTCATGATTGATGAGGTTTGATGCAGAGGGAGAGAGAAAGAGAGGGAGAGAGGCCAAAAGGATATTAGAAGGCAAGCAATCAAGTTGCAACAATGGCACTGGCAACAATCGTCATAATGGCCACTCGCCAACAGATATATTAATTCATCGCCGTATAAATGGTAAATGGTTGATGTTGTGCCTCTGCACCGAGCTAAATGGTAAATGGCACTGCCACTCGGCTCAATCGAGTGCCACATTGCGATTTATAGATTTCAATTGTCCATTTGCACTGCCGTGTGCCCATTGGCGCCTTTCCTCTCCTCTCCTTTCCCTTCCTTGCAGAAGCAGCCTCTCTTTGTTTGTGGTCGAGCGGTCTAATTCGATTGGCACAATTGCCATTTCATTGGCCGGTGGCAGAGTCATCGATTCGATTGCCAGTGGCTAATGCAGTCCATCTCTCTGTTGCCTTAATCGCCACTGACCGCTGCTCTGCCACTTTGCCTTCCGTACACTGGACACCAGACACGCTGCCTCGCCATCAGAGTAGAGCCTTATTGGCCCTAATTGATTCACTCTGTCCAGCAAACATGCAAACTCAATTAAGCTTCAGTGCCACCAACCGAGGCAGTCCGCTTTCTGTTGCTAATTCTGTGCACATTTGCGAAAACATGTGTATGCATTGTAATTTTCAAGCATGTCCGCTTACTTTTTTATACAACGAAAATACCAGCAAAAATACAAAGGTAGTGCTCAAAAGACATCCAACACGCCAACTGGTTTCTGACAGTCGAAAAAAACTCAGAAAACAAAAATTAAATCGAACATGCTGCCCTCTTCAATGTACGAAAAAAGAATTTGGCAAGTCGTTTCTGCGCAGACGTCATTTGCTGTCTGTCAGTCTTTCTGTCTTCTCAACTTCGAGAGACATATCAGTAGGTAAAACAACGTCCCTCGTAGTCTTCGGCTGTACTAAAAGAACGGCGTTTTCCCCTTCATTTGTTTTCGCTTCTGCTCCATCGAGCCTCTTTGTTTACGGTAAAACCTTGTCGTCATCGGGCAACAACATATTCACCGTCTTATTCCCAAAATCTTATCTTTATCTTACTGCAACATGCTACTGTTCTAGTAGCACTGTTTTCAGTAAGTTGTATTCAGTCTGTTCAAGAACTCATCGATTAAGTTGACCTTTCATTATTGAACCTTTCAGTGTGTTTTTGCCCTGCTAAATGAACAGCTTTAACCCGAAGACGAAAGACGAAAAAATGCGGATCCGAGCCTTTCCTGTAATTAGAGAATCTAACACACCATTGTTTGTAACTGCTTGTTATTTTGATTTTAGACTGCCATGGATGAGAAATACGTTCAAAGTATATGGACGCGTTTAAAGACGGCTATTCAAGAAATTCAAAAGAAGAACAACAGCGGTCTTAGTTTCGAAGAACTCTATCGCAATGCCTACACTATGGTACTTCACAAGTACGGTGAGCGACTTTACAACGGTCTTCGTGATGTCGTCAAGGAGCACCTCATTGGCAAAGTAATTACAAAATACTTTTGAAATTAGCTATAACTCGTGTAATATCTCACTCATTCTCTCTTCACACAATAGGTACGAAAAGATGTTCTCGATTCTCTTAACAACAACTTTCTGCAAACGTTGAATCAGTCTTGGAATGATCACCAGACTTCGATGACCATGATACGCGACATTCTCATGTACATGGTAATACAAATCGCTATGTTATGTGTTTCGAAAACACCTTAAACTTGTTCTTTCTAATAGGATCGAGTGTATGTTCAACAAAACAACGTGGAAAATGTCTACAATTTAGGCTTGGTTCTATTTCGAGATAACGTTGTTCGGCACGGACTAATTCGTGATCAAATTCGTGAAACGCTTCTTGAGCTTGTCATGAAAGAACGAAACGGCGAGTTAATTGATCGTTTGGCAGTAAAAAGCACTTGCCATATGCTAATTCATCTTGGAATCGAGTCTCGAAACGTCTACGAAGAAGATTTTGAAAAGCACTTCCTACAACAATCTGCCGAGTTTTACAAGGTATTTTTCTACAGTAAACTTGATTTTTGTTAACTTCTTAATTTACAGATCGAAAGTCAGAAGTTTTTGGAAGAAAATAGTGCTTCAGTTTACATTCGCAAAGTCGAACAACGCATCAATGAAGAAGCCGAACGGGCTTGCCACTATTTGGATGCCTCCACGGAAAAGATTATTGTTCGTGTTGTTGAGCAGGAGCTCATAAGTCGTCACATGAAAACCATTGTTGAAATGGAGCATTCAGGGGTTGTTCATATGCTCGAAAACCAAAAAAATGATGATCTCGCTCGCATGTACAAGCTTTTTAGCCGAGTTGATAACGGGCTGAAAGCCATCATCGCCTGTGTAAGCAACCATCTGCGTCAAGAAGGCAAGTCAATGGTCATTGATGATGGCAACAAGGAAGATGCTATTTCATTTGTCACGGTAATTTTTTACATTTTAATTTCAAAGTTAAGTTTTAATATTTGTTTTTCTTTTCTCCATGAATAGTCGCTCCTCGAGCTCAAAGATAAATACGACATTTTCTTGACACGATCGTTTTTCAATGATAAAGAATTTCTTAAAATGATCGGCAAAGATTTTGAGTATTTTCTCAATCTTAATCCCAAGTCGCCTGAATACCTGTCTCTTTTCATCGATGACAAACTCAAAAAGGGCGTCAAGGGAATGTCGGATCAAGAAATTGAACAAGTGCTTGACAAAACAATGGTTTTGTTTCGCTTTATTCAAGACAAGGATATTTTTGAGCGGTACTACAAGCAACATTTGGCCAAACGCTTGCTTCTGAACAAAAGCTCTTCTGATGATCTCGAAAAGAGCATGATTACCAAATTAAAAACTGAATGCGGCTGTCAGTTTACTTCAAAGCTAGAGGGAATGTTCAAAGACATTTCCATTTCTAACACGTTAAATGATGAATTCAAAGGTCATCCTCTGAGCAATGAAGTATGTGCTTGAATTGGTGTTTTTACCTCTTTTTAATTATTTTATTACTGTTTTTTGCAGATAAACATTGATTTAAGTGTCCGTGTTCTTACCACTGGCTACTGGCCTACGCAGTCCAATCCATCGAAATGTAATGTCCCTCTAATTGCTCGTCAAGCTTTTGAGAATTTTCGCAAATTTTACTTGGCCAAGCACAACGGACGAAAACTAACACTTCAGTCACAGTTGGGGTGGGTCGACTTGAATGCCGAATTTTACGCACCTCTCAAGAAGGCAGCTGAACTGTCCAGCATCGATTCACAACGAGCTTTTCCAGAAAGTGATGTTACCTCTTCTGGACCGAGCAGCATGATGATGATTGCAGGACCACAAACTGCTTCAGTCAAGCCGAGGAAGCACATTCTCAACGTATCCACTCATCAAATGTGCATTTTGATGCTCTTTAACAATCGAGAAAAGCTAACTTATGAGGATATCAAGAATGAAACAGATATCTCTGACAAAGATTTGACTCGGGCTTTGCAGTCGCTGGCCACTGGAAAGCCTACACAACGAGTTTTGATTAAGAATCCAAAAACTAAAGAAATCGGTAAGTTTGGTGCGCTAGTTTTTGTTGTAATTGAAATAATTTTCTTTTGATTACAGAAAACAGCCACGAGTTTTTCGTTAACGATTCTTTTACATCCAAGTTGCATCGTGTGAAGATTCACGCTAGTAAGTTGTAAAATTGAATTTTTGAATGCCGAATATTTACTGAACTTGGTTTTTAGTTTCAGTTAAGGGTGAATCAGAACCTGAACGTCGCGAGACTCGTTCGAAAATCGATGAAGACCGGAAGCACGAAATCGAAGCTGCCATTGTGAGAATTATGAAGGCTCGCAAGAAACTCTCTTTTAGTAATCTCGTTGCAGAAGTAAGTGTGGTGGTGTTGGAATTCTTGTTGAACATGTAAAATAACGGTACATTTTACTTGTTTCACCATTAGGTTACTGACCAGCTAAAGTCCCGATTCATTCCTGACCCGCAATTCATCAAAAAACGAATTGACGGACTAATAGACCGCGAGTACTTAGCTCGTACACCCGAGGACAGGTAAGTTTTGATAATGCAATCATTTTTCTAGCGTGTATACTATTCTTAACTCTTTGCAGGAAAATGTACACATATGTCGCCTAACAACTTGATGACTAGCATGTACTGTAAAATTCATCTAACATTAGTATAGCACGCCACATTCTTTATTCCGTTCCTTCGGTTCCAATTAAATGTCAATAAAATGAAGAAAACTATCATATTTTTCTAATTGATAATTTCAAATAAAACTTATTTATTGTTAATGAACATTGTATGAGTCATAAAACCGGTACTGGCGAAACTCTTACTCAGAGTCAGAGTCAAACTGTTCATAAAACTTGCGAGATTGAGCCATCTTTCTTCTCGGATCTTCCTCCATTGTAGTGGTGATGGCCCCCGATGTCGCAATGATCCACTCAACCTCTGCAAAAGAAAAACGTTGCGGTAGTGTTTATTCACAGGACAAAGCAGTATTAATACCTTCGTTGGTGATCTTCTCAGACCCAAAAATCATTGGACCAATGAACTGCTTAATGAGCTGACTATCTCGGTACACAAAGACAGCAGGCAAGTTGGAGTCGGGAAAATTGGGGACACACAGTGTGGCAATGCTCTTTAAGAATTTGGTCGCCGGAAATTTTGGAGCCAGTTCATCAAAGATATTCTGCATTTGCTTGCACAACGAATGTCTGAAATGATGAAAGTTAGTGTAAGCTAAGAGGAAGCTGTTCCCAAAGATGACCTACCCCTGTTGGTAGAGCAGCAGAACCACCCAGATGCCCTCTCCCGCTCGGTTCACTTGCATCACGTAGTCAGATGCGGTGATCTCGACGACATCGCCAAAACGTGCCTGCTGTGCAGCTACCTGGATCTCATTCAGCCGTTTCTCGCGGTACTGCCTGATGAAGTCATCATCATCATTCTCTTCCAGCCATGCTTCCTCTTCATCGGAGTTGTTGAATTTGATTTCCTTTGGTTCAGGTTCAGGCTCGACTTCTTCTTCCTTTTTAGGCTCATCCTTGATGATACCGTGCTTCTTCAGGATATCATTCCACTCGGTGTCCTCCTGTAAACACGAAAAGAGTTAGTAACCGGAAAGTGTGATTAATAAAGAATACCATGGTGTTTGAGAATAACAAGTTGCAAGAGTTGTGTGCACGGTTGGCAAGGCGGATATGAGGAAGTAATGGGCAAAAACGATGCCAAAAATAGAAACACCACAGAATCGAGAGTAGGTTATTTTAGGCAACCAAAAATAAGGCAACGCCTCACAGCACTTTTGTCAGCAATTTAAAGTTTTATTGCTTTCTTGATAAAATATATTTCTAACAATTTTAGATAGTTCTAAAACTTTGCTAGCACATAGTTTATTTACAAGATGATCAACAGTGTTTATAAATGTTAGCCAGTGAAAAAGCCAAGTTTCCAGCTCGGATCATTCCAAAGTTGCTCCAAATCAACGCAATGCATCCTGGCGCATGCGTTCATGCACCAACCAGTTTTAAACATTCTGGCGCTACATTTTTGAGGAAGTAAAGTAAAAGTTTTTCGAGAGATCATAAAACCAATTTTTAGCTGACACTAGTGAGTGTACCGGATATGGAAATTGTTTACAGGTGACAAAAATCTCAATTTTGTAATAGTAATCATTCTGACCAGTTAAGAATGCGCTTAGTTCAAACTTGAAGTCCAAGAATTGCGCCAGAGTCACCTAGAGGACGGATGAACTCATTCGGAAGAGCAACGTGGAGCGGCTTCCTCTGCAGATATGGCGCCACAGTGAAAGATAATGCTTCGAGTGCGTCAATGGCAGTGCTGCCGCTGCCGCTGTAAACAACTTCATTTGTCTAGCAGTTGTTTGTCAGTTGTGTCCACTAAGTGTAAGCTCATTTGAAGATCATCGCCTTGATTCTGCGCCACAACTTGAAGAAAAGAGTGAAAGAGAGAAAGCCAACAAACGGTGGTAAGCGAAAGTGTGCCGCTTAAGAGGTTTTGCTAGAAAGTCGTAGAGACTGTAGTGATTGCGTAAGAAGAGAGTTTACTGCTGCTGGTCAACTGGGCAGTTTGTGCTCCACTTCTGTTGCTGTTGTTGTTGGTCGCATGGCCACTCTTGCCTTGCTGCGCCACTAATCTCAGCAGACACGCTAGCTGTCCAGCGTCTGGCGTGTTGACTACCACAGCGACCACCACCGCCAGCAGCAGCACCTCTTTGCACTGCCTGTCCTCTTTCCAAACTTGATTTGCCCAATATCTCAGCGCGTTCTTCGCATTCGTTTGCGACTCTGTCTGAGAGTCAGCACTCTCCAATGAGGATCACTTCAATGATTTCGATGGCTGTCAGTGAGGAGAGTCTGCTCTCTCTTTCTCTCCCCACTTGTCAGTGTTTTGAGTTTTGTGTGTNCTTCCAAACTTGATTTGCCCAATATCTCAGCGCGTTCTTCGCATTCGTCTGCGACTCTGTCTGAGAGTCAGCACTCTCCAATGAGGATCACTTCAATGATTTCGATGGCAGTCAGTGAGGAGAGTCTGCTCTCTCTCTCTCTCCCCACTTGTCAGTGTTTTGAGTTTTGTGTGTCAGCATTGTCTTCGGACAATTGACGGCATGTCGATGACCAATGACGACTGCAGCCAGTGAACAGTACCGGCGGTATCTCTCGGCCATCCCTTCTCACTAATCGTTTCCGTTTTATCCTCCCCCTGTGCTCATCATGGAACGAATCACACTGTCTAACTTACATGATCAGTTAGATTCGATTCGGTCCACTTCAATACCTCAAGTTAAACGATACTTTCGAAAGTGAGTTTAACATTTTCTTTGAACCATGAATCGCCTTTATTTATTAACGTTTCTCATCACCAAGACGAATTGTAAAGTGCATCAATGAGTGCAAAACACAAGCTCTCAACATGAAGAAATCCATCGAGTCAACGTCGGGCAGTCATTCTCAACAAAATGAACAGCAACCTAACGGTACACTTGCACTGCACTTGCACTTGCTTTATAACTCTATGTAAACCTGACATATTGATGACTCTAGATTACGAATTTGGCTGGGGTTCTGATTTTGATGAAGACGACGAGGATGATGAAGTGCAATCGGCAGAAGTGCAACAAGCCAATAACACTACATGTGATAGCAAAGTATGTCCGTTCTGATCTGTTTGTAAACAACTAACACCTGTATTTGCACTCTCTACAACCGCAGAGTCAACACACTCATTTGGTGCAGTCACTTAATTGCTTGCACCTAAAAGAAAGGCCACCAGCAAGAGTCCAGTTGGCTCACTCTGTCTCGCTGCAGTCTTTCTCCAGTATCGAAACTCCAAGTCATCCAAGTGCAAAAGGGTCGTCCAAGTCAAGGTAACAGTTTGCATGGTGATGATACGGCACTTTCACTGACTACTGATTTTTGCAGCCCTTCAAACAGTAGTTGTCGGAGGCCCATCTCAGAGCCGCCGCCACCACCACTGCCCACTACCCTTCCGCCTAGAATCGAGGAGGAGGAGGTAGCTGTTTGCCATCGATCGGGGCCAATGAAGTCAGGTATTAGTGAAGATGCCTATGAAGTCATGTCCGCATCGACGGACAACTGTGATGACGAGTACCTGCTGCCAAATAGCTGCCTAAAGTCTCCCGAAGACACCTACCTGAGTGCGGGTAGTCAGGAAAATGGAAACTACGAGTACATTCAGTACAGTCAAATGGACCATTATAGGCCGACGAGTTCCAGTGATTCAGGATCGCTTTTTTCTAGTAAGCAGTGCGCACACATTCACATTAAAATTGCTTCAACTTTGTATTATTCAAAATTAGGCAATAGTAGGAGCAACCTAAAGGACGTTGATGGTAAGTTCTGCGATTTACAAAAAAAACGTTTTTAATTATTTGCTGAACATAATTTCAGCTTTCAGCGAACGACCGTTACCTCCAATACCAAAAGAAGAAAGCGTTGAGGATTTGATGTTAACAAGCTACTCCTGGTTTCACGATCTGGAGCGAAATGAAGCGGAGAGGATGCTGAAACAAATCGGCAGAGATGGCGTGTACCTAGTGAGAAGAAGCAAACGGGCTGGTCTCAGTAGCCCTTTCACTCTCACTCTCTATCACAACGAGAGAATATTCCATCTAAACGTGCGACATCGAACAGATGGACTGTATGCACTGGGCATGGAAAAGTACAAAGAAAAGGTGGGTGGAAAGAATTGTGAGTGAGTGCAGTTATCATTAGATACCATTTGTGTATTCTTTTAGACATTTGCTTCTGTTGCTGAACTTGTGGAACACCACAATAGCGAACCTATTTTTCTCACTTCAAAAGGTATATAAATGTTTAATTTTTATTACAAAAGCTTTAATCAAAGGTAATAATACTTTAGGTATGC